TCAAGGTCTAATGCGTGTAAAGTGGGACTTCATACTGATCCTAGCTCTTGCGAGCAACAGTCTAAGTGTGGCTTTGTTCAAGATTTCGACCGAGGGCTTTGCAGTGGCCTCGGATCGGGTCAAGCAGCACGAAAGAAAGAAAGATGAGAAAAGCAAATGGAAGAAAAGAGGAAAAGCCATAGGCAAGGGTCATACTCCGGCGCCCTGCAAGCACGCTCCAAGTAGTCCAAAACCAACTCCAAAGCCGGTTGAATTGAAGGCCAGCCAGGCCGTCATCGGAGCGCAGTGTCTTGCAATATACGGTAGGGTACGGCGCCCGTGCTCTGGACCTGTGCGCAAGAGGTAGCCGAAGGCGGTGAGGTCATTGATGGATTTTGGCCTTTCGGTGTGTCACCCTTGCCGCCCTTGCCTGCCTCCTTCAAGCACTGGTCGAAGCGAGTGCGGAATTTGCGCAACGGGCATGGGTAAGCGTTTGGGCGATCCAAGACGATGGCATGGCAGGGAGAGCTCCAGAAGTGCTTGAAGACGAATTTACCATCGGCCGCGTACGGGATGATCGTCAAGCCTTGCCACTGTGCCTTGAGGTGGTGTCGGAAATCCATCCGTGGTCAAAGAGCGCCGTTTGCGTCCAGTACCCTGATGGTAGGAGGTCGACAAGGTGGACAACATGGAAGCAGTATACATGTACAGTCGTATGGAAAAGGAGTATAGCGATAGAGCAACAAAAGGGTGAAGAAAAAAATCACGGACCAAGAAACACGCGGGGAGGTGGCAGCGCCGGGCGTCGGGGCATTGGGCATGGTCGCCGGAGCCTGAGAAGAAGAATGCAAAAGAATGTAAAGTGGAGGGGAATCGAAGGATGACGAGAAAGATATGAGAAAACCGCGACCGGGGAAGAGAAGACAGAGGTAAGACACGCAGCAAGACATTGGCCAGGAGGCGTCTGCTGTAGACAAGGGCTGCGAGGCAGTGGGGATTTCAGGACGGCACGGTGGTCGCTGGAGCGGCGTCGGCTGCGGTGGATTAGGCCTCAAACCATAGAAGGAAATGGGGACAAGACAGCAAAGGAAAGAAAAAGGCAATCCGGCCTTGCGGGCAGCAGAGGCAGAAGCAGGCTTGGGAGTCATGCGAGAACCGAGCGTCGCGCGGGCGGGGTGAATCTGAGCCAAGTGTGATTCTGATACCGTTCGCGTGGACGTATGTGGTCGCAGAATCAGAATCGCTTGGCGAGGAAAAAGAAACCATCGAAGAATATGTACGGCGAGACCCACGCGATGTTTTTGAACTACGTGCGAGGGCGCTTTGGCCGTGGGCGGAGGTTAGCCAAGGAAGCACGGCGCACTGCGTGCGGAGCAGCGGAGGCAGGTGTCGTGTTCAAGACCTTTGTGAGCTTGGTGCCAGCTCGCTGCGCAGCGGTTGGAATGTCACCAAAAAAGCAAAATCAGCAGGAGAAGAAGATGGCCTTGATTGTGCGCATTCAACGGATAGGTATAACAATGGATGGATCGATTGATAATGTGGCAGTTCGCTTGATAGGTGCACACTAGTATTCATATGTTTGGGTCGCGCATGGAAAAGACTGGACAGGAAGCCTACGAGGAAAAAACTCGTAAGCTTCCCGCGCGGTTTTTTAACGCTGTCAGTGGCAGGGATGGACACGCGTCACCGGCATCATAACCAGTAGACTTGGCCCACGAGTCGAACATCGTTGGCAGTTTGTATATAGGCTATTGCAACACGAATGAACCAGACAAGAAATATTTCGAGGTTTTTCATCTTCCCCGAGTGTACTGAATTGTCAGCGCTGGCAGGCTCGAGGTGCTGCCTGTTTACCTGTAACAATCGGAGCCTAAAGGTGGCGTGTATACAAGCCTTGTCAAAATGAACGATGGATCCCAAAAGCAGACAATGAAAGGCCAAGCCAGGTAACTTCTTGCACGTGGGCAATCGAAGGCGGGCTGCGGGGATCTTCACCCTAGACAGGAACAAGGGCAGGATGCACATCAGTTGCGTCACGCAGCCCTGCAGCAGTGCAAGGGTCAGGGCTACAAGCAAGCAGTGGCCAAGCCTCTGCTTTCACAGGGACGAGGGGCTCTGAGATATTTTCGTCCTTAGCAGTCACCCAAGGCGGACAAAGCGCGTTTGTGATGGCCATTCAGCATAAACATATAATTATCAAGTCACTGCTTCCACGTGGGCAGTCAACGGCGAACTATGAGCGTGGGGATGTTCACACTGGACAAGAACAAGAGCAGGATAGCTATTCGAGCCCTATTGCTTCAAGGGATTGAAGACTTGGGGGCGACCAAAAAACTGGGGTGTAAGGTAATGGTGCAAACCCCAAAGGTCAGTGGACTTCGAAAAAACCATCAAAAATTCAGTCAACGGGCACTACAGATAGTACCACGAAAGCTCATGGACTTGAGTTCTCTCACTCCAGGTCTCCAGGACTTCACAACGATTTTGGGGCATGTATGCCAACTTCACACACTCAACCTGGCAAAGATCCAAGCCTGTGCTGTCAGGGTGGATGACAATGCTTCCATCAGATCTTCGTCCTGAGCAGTCAACTGAAGCCAACAAATCTTATATAAACTTGAAATGATCTGCAATGGCTCTGAAACACAAACGATCTTGAGCGCGGACAGCCTCAAGGTGGACACTGGATTGGGAGCTCTGAGCGTGGAGACCTTCATCCTGGACAGGAAGAAGGGGTGGGTGCATTCACAAATGCGCATCAGCAGCAGTCTTGAGAGGATGGTTTTGCCAACAGGTCGTAGACTATATGCATGGCGTAGACTATATGCATGGAAAAGGTCTGTTCTTTGGACGGCCAAGTTCTCTCGACAAATGTCTTGCCCGGTTTTATGGTACAACACCAGCAGCATGTCAGCATTCAAAAGTGTCTTTGTATCGAACACGAAGCAGCTTCTCCCGCTTGATGACTGGATGGCAAGCGCTGCGCACTGAGATCTCCATCCTCCACTTGGGCAGCCCCCAACAGAGGACGTTTTCAACATTGCCCATTAGGAACCTTCTGGAAAGTTATTGCATCAATGACGACTTACAAAGCAACAGGCTGACCCCACGGCTGTTTGAAACCAAGCAACTGACTTCATGCAAGCTCGGCGGTCTGTGAGTCACAGGCAAACCTTGCGTCTGCTCACATCTGCCGTTGATGGCTGCAAGGATTGGTCATACGTCGGAGTTCACGAATGGTTCGCAAGGGAGGATTTGATGGGGCACTGGGAAAGCCGCTTGCCCCATCCAAGATTTGTCCATCGACTGGGTGCACCAAATCTCGCAGGCCTTGACCAACCCCTGCCGTGCATGCTTGCGCATGAACGCGGCATCTTGGGCCTTGGAATGCGAAGCTCGCGTTTAATTGAATGTGTCGGGTGTTGAAGTTGAAATTGGAAAGGTCAGGCTTCGACGATGCGTGCCAGAGTGGAAGTCTGCGGGCACTGTGACCGTCATCCAAAAGAGCAAATACTACTATTATTACTATAGGTTGGAGGCCATTGCTATGGGATACTCCCCCTTCCCAGACGTTGGACCGAGTTGACATCTATCTGAGGAGTATATATTCTTTTGAAACCGAGCTCAGGAGGCAACTCCGAGATGATCCAAAGGTCCAGTCGGGCCCTTTTTCGGGCGACCTTTTTGGAACCAGTTTGGTCAAGAATTGTGAAGACCCCAAACAACTGACGCTGCTCAAGCAGGGAATGAGCGAATGGATCCACAGGAATCTCTTTGGGGGGCTCATTTCCTTATTCCTTACTGAGCACCAATCAGACAATGGCAAGCTGGACTAAATCATAGGAGCATCCATCGGGTGTTTGAGTTGCTCCACAACCTAACATGCTTCGCCCTGGCCGACCGGAGCCGCCCCTTCCAAGCAGAGGCTCCGCTGCTTCATATCCTTCATTTCTTGCCGCTTCCGCTGCCTCCGCTCCTGTCGCTGTTGCTTCTCTTGCTTCTCAAGCTCCTGCGAATCGTCCTGCGCTACAAGAACCAAAGAAAACCGGCTCCCGATCTGATCGAGTGAATTTCGAGAGGATCGTCTTGAAGTGAATGGTCCAGGACAGAATTTTCTGGCATGGCGTAACTGGTCAACAGCGCGGTTACCTTCCGAAGGCTTAGAAACCTGATATGACGTGCAGCAACTTCAACAAACATCGGGGACTTCGGATGGGGCACACCCAGGGAGTGTCCGGCCTTGCTTGCAGGGGAAGCCACACGCAAAAAAACACATTGAATGGTTTTGGAAAGCCATCCATGAAACTCCACTAGCTATCTGACCATCTACATCATTCTACATCCATATATACCATCCATTTTCGGAGAAGGTACCTTTCTCTGTGCGTCCGTCATTGCACGCCGACGCCAACGTCCACGACATGGCACAAACTTCGCTGCTTCATTTGACCCATGGGGCTTCGGCTGTTGCATCGCTTGTTGAAAAGGGGGAAACAGAAGCGAAGTTGTCGATGTCGATGTCGATGTCCGATTTCTCCTTGGGCTTCTTCTCGGGAAGGATGTGGTCAAAGGAGCTGGTTTCTCCTAAAGGAGCTATTGGTGGCCACTTCCTGCATGCAGCTGGTCTTCACCAGGTTGATGGATCTCCACATGTCTGTGAACTGCTTTGGCATGATACGGCAACAAGCACCAGGGTTACCACAACTGAGTATGAGCGGGTCAAAAAGTGACACTCGCATACACATGGGTTGGGATTGGGTTTCAACATGTTTCAGTTCGGAGAGTCCCGTCATTCTGGTGAGACATGCGGATCACAAGCTCGGATGCCGAAAGCTTCTCCCTCATACGTCCACCCAGGCGAAACACCTCCCCAGGCGTCCAAACAGTTCGATGCCTCCACCGCATTGGGCAGCAACATTGGGCTCCACCCAGCACCGATCAGCGGGCTGCTGAAAGGTCTACCAAGCTGGAGCCCCAAAAGCGAGCGGAAATATGCACAAGGGGAGTGGCTTCATGGTTCGCACATGTTTGGCTCAAGAGTCCAAATCTAGGGTTGCAGTTGCAGTCATCTGCGAAATCCTATGTTTCAAGGGAAGTGTCACCAGCAGAGTTGGGCTCCCTTTGCCATGAAACATCTCCCTGGACCCAAACCACGTGGGCAGGATGTCCAAGTGCTAAATGATTGTTGAGCTACCAAACAGAGGGAGAAACCAATGCAGGCATTGCAAATCAACTCTCAATTATCGATTGTCTCGAGGCTGTCAGGTCCAAATTTGTGGAAAACGGTGAAGTCTAACATGGTCTAACACTCTGAGTGCGTTCTGACCGGTTTCGCAAGTAGACCCTTGCCAACACAAAGCCAAAGCAAAGACTTCGTAGCTTTGACTTGAGAAGTTTGAGAAGACGTTCACCTGGCCTTTCGGAGCCTTTCTAAATCGACCAAGTTTGCTGCCGCACTCCTTCCCAAACAGGAGACCGTACAGGGTCGCTCTTAGCAAGGACGCAAGGACTTGGACAGAGTCGCTCAACGGTAAGAAACACTGAAACAACCTCACGGCTCGTTCTTCCCGCCACGCCAGGGGGTCTTCTACGGCGAACAGTGGGCGCCGGTGTCTTAGGCCACGGCCATTTCAACCGCTTGTTCCTGCTTCTCCCAACCTGCGAGGGATCTTGCGGCACACGAGGTCCAGAACAACTGGAAGAAATGCATCGTACTGTAGTCCTTTAGTCCGTTCTCATGCAACAAAAACGGCTCTTTTTGCCAGGAAGATTACAAAGAAATACGGCGGAATGAAAACAAAGATCCTCCCAACATGCCAGTGATGAGGGAAACTGAGGAATGATTGGATCAGCACAACTCCGCCTTCTTCCATGCAGAGCTCCACCCAGGATATATTCAATGTAGTCTGTGGAGACATGTGGGGGTAAGGCAATGAGGTCGCAAGAGGCGTAGAGGCACTCAATTCCCACCCTGATCTTCAATTTCTTTCACCAGCGTCCCTCAGAAATCAAAAGAAATCATTCACTCGAACTGACGGTGGAGCAGCACAAGAGATGTCACAGGCCAAACTGACGAGTCGCGGGAACTGCCACGCAGAACATACTCTTCGTATTGCCGATGTTTCAGCTCCATGCACCTTCCAAAGACGGAAATCTTCAGGTCTGACCTCTCTGCCTCAGGGAAACTTCTTTTAGTTGGCGTCCAAAACCATTTCTGCCGTACTCTCGAGCTCGAAAAACCGAGCGTGTCGTGTACTACACGTGCGTCGCGTAGTAGAATACTACGAGTCGCGACAAAACCCCTGCAGGCGTCCCGACAGGGAAGCTTCCTCCGCGCTTTCAAGATCTCATAGAAGCGCTTGGAGTACGCTCGGCCCGTGAGCCTCGGCGCGAGCGAGGCTAGCACGGAGGTGAAGAAGGGCACGAAACGTGTGATGGGCACGAAGCGGTCGGTCGGTCTTTGGGACGTGTTAATTAAGTGTCTGAAAATCACCAACACAGATAGCTCGGAGACCAGAGTTTGGGGTTTATGATATTCATTATATATAACACGGAGTCTGGCGGAATTCCAACCACCGTTGCTTCAATGGTCTGGGTCCAACCATCGACCATTTTAGGCCATTCTTGGTAGGTTTTTTCGACCCAACCTACAGGGTCGACCAAGCAACAGAGGTTGAAGAACCTTATATGGACATATATAGCCATAGCCCATAGCTGTCCAACTATCCAATAGGAACCCCGTAGCCTGGATCCTAGAAGTAGTATGGGCTTGTCATAGCAGCATGCCGCTGTGATCCTGTTCGCCCATGCCACCTCACCCAACACCTGTTCGGGGGAGAGTATTGTCAGGTCTATTTCCCGATGTGCTTCCTTCCTCAACTGCATAGAAGACTGGCAGTCATCTACACGCCCAGTGAAATTGACTATGAACTTCGTACTGGGTCCTCAAAATGTCTTTCTTAGAGCCTTCCAGGGGGAAGGGCAATATATGTATTTCCAAATACCGAGCCCACTCACACCGGTCCGCTTTCGTGGCGTGTGGTTCTGCGTGAGAAAGACATCTCAAAACCACTGACTCTTCACCACCTAGGACCCCCCGCCAGTTGCTCTCACTCGCGCCAATCCTGGCCAGCCCCTGAGCAATTCCTGGTCGTGCGATCGCGGTCACCGTCTTGGTACACCAAAGCTCTAGGACAGTGACATGACAAGGACTAAGGCTTATGACTGATCCCAAGACAAGTCTCTATAGAAACCAATCTCCCTTATTTCATCCGAGTTTCGGACCTCCTCCGATGATAAATTCACTCTGACGAGACGGCATGGCCATGGGTTTGCTGGATGGCATGGCCATGCATGGCCGGAAGACCCCTGTTGCTCCTCTTAGTCGGAAAGTATCCCAAGAACGCAAGCCTTGGAACCGGAGCCAGCTTCGGATCGTAGGGGCCGAAGGTTTGAAAAAGCGGTGCCCGGGTTACCCAGAGGTCATCCCCGAGCAAGCCGGTTCTCTAGGGCCTCTGGGTCGTTGAGTGAATTACTTGGATGTAGATGCGGTTTTTTTTGCTAGTTGGATGTAGATGTGGCGTCTCGAGCAGAGTCCTGCGGATCTTTCTACATCTTATGATTGAACACTTCTTTGCACTGTGGTGTTTCCGCAGGGTCTCAAGCTCTCGCCCCGCAGGGCCCGTCGTCAGGTGACTCTCAACTGGTGAACCAACACAGATCCTTTCCGGACTTGGAGGGGTTGTTTCTGACAAGGCCGGAACATATCATGATGTATCATGATGTATCTGTCCCTTAAAACCTTTTATACGAAGACAGACAGATACAATCATGGTACATATAAGACATGATACATAAGAACCTTATATTATAGACATAATGGACATAATTCAACCTCTACCCTCCCTGGAACCATCATGAAAGTGGATGGCATGGCCCTTGGATGACCATTTGCCTCTACACACAGGTGGTTTTGCTCTGGAAATGATAATTCTTAGAACCTCATAGAACCTCTGTTCTGTTTGACGGACTTGGGGGAGAACTCCTCTTGGCTGGAATTTCATCTGTCTCTTCCCGCACTTCCCACACATATTCACATATGTGTTCAACAAATAAGTCCAGTTCGGTTCTTTCCATTCATTCAAGGAAATAACTTCTGTCATTATCCGACATCCACAGTCAAATTTAGTCATCTTTACTCTCTTACTTTTATATATCATTGTTTCTTTAAGTACAGTATTATATGTTTTATTCTTTAAGAACATCTTTAAAATCTAAAACTATAATAATGGCAAGAATATTAACAAAAGAACAGATACTCCGTCGGCCCTGGGGCACGGCGTGTTTTGGGTAGTTGGTTTTTGTTAGTTCTTTGTTAAGCTATGTCTTGTCTGTTTTAGTGCTCCGCCGGGCGGATTTTTGAACGGTCTAACCTGACCCCCCCCCCCCCCCCCCCCCTCGCTGCGGCCAAAAGGGCCGGCGGAACAATCCGCAGGTGTAAATAAGCAATGCCTATTACGACTTGGAAAAGGGGTTCGGGTCAATCCAAGACACCCTAAAACAAGCAAAAGAACAAGACCCGTCCATCACGAGGGTAGATGTGGAAACCTTTATGCAGAAACAACCCAACAAACAGATTCAACAAACAGATTAGAGGATACAAAGGTTCGAACTCATACACCGCTCCGTTCTCAAGGTTTGAGTATCAAATTGACATAATGCATATGAAGCCTTTAACGAAAGTTCCGGAGGCAAAAATACCAAGGAAGAATTCCGAGCCACCCTATGCTTTAGTCGTTATAGATATATTCAGTAAGATGGGCGACGTCGTGCCTATGAAGCAGAGAGACGGAGAAACGGTCTTACCAGCGTTGAAGCAAAGTTTCAAGAAGATTGGTTTTCCAATGTCAAAATACAGCGATGATGACGGAGCATTTCAAACAGTAGTCTCAAAGTTCTTTAAAGACGAAGCCATCAATCACATCATCACAAGAACACACGCAAATGTCGTGCAGCTTTTCATCAGGACACTTAAGAGTATGATACAAGGCAGGATGGACGAGCATGCTTCCACTCGTATTGAAGAAAACGATACAGTCAAAATCTTCACCAAGGGCAGAGGCAACTACACCGACAGAAAAGAATACAATAGCAAAAGATTTAAAAAAAAAAAGAACAATTGCCCTTGCCGCTCGTGCCTGATCCCTCGGCCGATCGTGGACGTTTCTTTTGCCTCGGCCGATCGATGTCCGAGAAACGTGGTGCCATGTGTTCAGTTCTCAAGGACTTATCATCATAGGTTCGAAGAAAACGTGTACAACATAAGAATCCCATAGGGTCCAGGTACCTCCTGAGGATGGTCTTGAAGGTGAAAGTACTTCCAGAGAATGGTCTTGGGGGGTCAAAGGACATCCGATTCGGATGGTCCTGGACCTTTAGGGAATAGGTTGGCTTTAGAATGGATTGCATTCAATTCGTTAGGGTTCTGACTGAGAGACTCTGTATACTCACATCTCCACGTTCCACGTCTAGCCCAACGAGTCTTTGAGGGCTCACGACTTCGGGCCCTCAAGGCCCTCGCACACCGATCGTCGATCGATCCAGGTCGAAGGATTGGGTTGGAGAAGTCACCCGGTCCGCAGGAAGGTCCGCAATGGGTGAGGTCTTGAAGGAAAGCAGTTCGGGACCTTGGAGTCGGTTGGATACTGCAGCCACTGTTCGGAACGCAAACCTGATTGGGGATTGTTAGGTTAGGTAGGGTTTAGGCGAAGCGATGGCATGCATGGTTTAGGACGCTTTTGGCGCTATTCTGACATGATGTTATATTCAACAGGAAGACTTCTCCTGCAGCTCCGGACAATGCACACGTCCACACATATGAGATGCAAAACTATTCAAAGATCCTTCCTGCAAGAGACCCTAAGAGCTGAAATGGTGGAGGGAAAACACAAGACACAAAGTACTGCAAGTATTTTGACCCCTTCCGTTTCCCTGAAAAAATCAACAACAACTGGCTAATCTCTTTCCACCCGTTCATGCTTCTTGATGATCCGTTACGAGATCTGCCCCATCAAAGGGGGTGCAGATCTTCGCCACCAAATGACCAGGACTCTCGAGGACATCGCGACATGGGACCAGTTGAAACAGGAGCTCATATGCTTGCAAGGGATTTAAAGCCCCTTGATCCACTACAAACCCCTGAGATGGGAGCATACCTAATGGGAAGGCGGAAGTGCAGCCAGCCCTTCTTTCAGGGGGCTTTGTATATCCATACCCCGGCTCCTAACAAAAGCTCCCTCCATCTCCCTCCCTCCGCACCAGCTAGTCTAGATCGCTCTGGATCCACATACACTCCTCAAGAAAATCATTGAAGGGTGTTGCAAGATATAGTGATCTCCACAAACAAACGGTGTCCAATACAGTGAAAGCTAAAAGCAGATTCTTTGGAGCCCCAAAACCATCCAATCATCTTCCAATGAAAAAAAATATGCCTCGGATCCAAAACCCATGTGTTGGCCACGAGAATCTCTGGCAAAAGGGTGCCTATGTCTCCATCTGTTCGTACCCAAACAATCTATGTATGGAAGAGTTAATTGCCTACATTCCAACTCATGGAGTGTCTGGGTGCTCCTTTTTTCAGTGTTCTAGTACCCAGATCCGGTCTGCCACGCATCACAAAAAGATCTGGGAGTCCCCGGCATTGAGATTCAGGCCAAGACAGGCATGCGGCCAAAGATAGGCTTTGGGCGGGTTGACCCGGCGTGGCCCGCGGAAGGTCACCAAACATATATATATATATATATATGGTGTTGGGCAGTCTTGTTTTGTCTCTTGGTCAAGTGTTTGTGAATGGATGGACACAAGACAAAGGCTGCGGCTCTTTAGGAAAGACCACCATCTCATGCAGTTCGTTCAAAAACTGAGTGGCTGCATGCTACTCCAATCCTCATTTGCAGCCAAATTCTTCGGTGGCACCGCTTCATCCCCGGCGCCGTCTCCGGAAGTTCCAAGCCGTCTGATGAAGGTCATCTGAGGTGCCCCCAACGCGCCCTGACCAGGTTGAAAAGGGCCTTGATGGTTGGAGTACGTTGGAGTGCATTGATCGCTGACAACTCAGTGCTTCAAGGTCATGAGGCCATGAGTCGAAGACCGACCCTGTCCAAACCCTTTCCATCCCGACTTCAACAAGTCGTCAGGTGGTGCATGGTGGTGCCCCTTCAGCAGCCTTGAGGACCACAAGGCTGACATTCATGACGTCCCAAAAAAACATCATAGTATAGTAATTAAGTCAATCAATATGCATCTTAAATCTGGCCTCGCTGCATAGTTACGTAAGTCTTGAGCCTTTTGTGATGTCCTACAGTATGGAGCTTTTTGTGATGTCCTATGCATTTTGAGGCTTCTGCCCGTGTCCTTTTCGTGTTCTGTGTTTCCATATCTGCTTATTATATATTTTGTGTTGCTCCCGTATATTCTCACTCACACATCATACATGTACACACATAACACTTCCAGAAACCAGGTTATATACACTAACCCAAAGAAAATGGGTGAGGTGCTGGGTTGAAGACGCTCCACAGGGAGAGTGATGACACGTTAAACAGTTCGGGCTTGTCACGATTCCCTTTGACAGGTGGAGAAAGCAATCACATGGAAGGCCCCAACAAAAAAAGGAACTTTCTCATTCAAACGGCCGAAATCTCCCCACCATTGGGTCTTTACGGAACGGGGCAACAAAACAGGAAATTCCAATGCCAAACGTCTTGGGTCTTTGCGGTCGTTCATGTCTGACAGAAGAAGTTCCAATGACATCCAACGACACTTCTTCTGATTCTGCACGACCCTTTACGAAGGACCCCTTTTTCCTGTTGAACAATTCAATCACAAAGCCATCGGCCGCATCTCTTTTCCCTCGCGCGCGGCCATCGGCACAGCCGGGCAAGTGCAGGAGCACCCTGGAGGGCCGAAGCAAGTTGATGGAAATGGAGGATAGATTCTAGATAAGGATGGGTTTAGGGGTTTAGGGTTTAGGGTTTAGGGTGACTCTTGGCTCAATCTTTGGCCTGGAGTTGGTGGAAATCGACCAACCCTCCATGAGATTTACTGCTTTACAGTACATGGACTCCTGTAATTCACCAAACCCGAGCTCCGCTCCGCTCGTCGTCCGTGGGCCCAGTCGGCACCCCGTCAGGACGGGATGACCGCCCGGAGGAACCGTGCGGCAGAAGGGAGCTCCAAAGGTGCTGCAGAAGGGAGAGGGAGCTGCAGAAGCCGGAGGGTCACAAGGTTCTAGCGCTTAGCAGTGGACAAGTAGGCATCCAAAGCATCCAAAGGCATCCGCAGGCATGAGCAGGCATGAGCATAAACCCACATCCGTCACCCTTTGATACCTTCTGGCAGCCTCCAAAATTGCAACCTTGCATTGAATTCCATACAGGTGTCTGACCACTTCAACACGAACCACTGTGACAGAGCCAAACATTCACATCAGTTTCATCGGTGTTTGGGTTCCCCAAACGCTCAAACCTCCCACGGTCGTTGGGGTCGACGCCCGTCCGACGCCCCGTCTCTGGCCTGGCCTCCCCGGGCGCCGCCTGACGGAAGGCATGCGGGAACCGCATGTGGGAAGCGCTTGATCACTGGCACCACGACGGTTTGGGACACAGCCTGATAGCCTCTGGATGTCCTCAGATTCAGATCATCTCTCTTATCTCAGGTGGCTCATCTACAGTAGGATTCCAACAGTGACTCGTTGGCAGTCAGGCAAAAAAAGCGAACATAAAAACAACTAAAGAGCGGTGGAGATGGATCTGCAGAACAGTTTCGTTCGCTGTTGTTCAGCTCATGGATCACTTTGAAAGATGTTGAAAGGCAAGAGTTGCCACGCCGTTTTGGCCCTTCCGCGGGCGAGAAAGCGCGCTGCACGACGCACGACAGCATCGCTGCATCGCGCGGCACGGTCGCCTAGCTTCGTCCGAGGTGGCTTTGTTGAAGCGCACCACTCACGGTGGCCTGGAAGCTGACCACAGTTCAAGGAGATCGGTTTCTCCAACCCACCCGCCAACCAGCCGAAGAGGTCTTTTTTCACCTCAAAACCACCACGACCTGTGCGACACCCAAAAGAGAGAAACGACAAAAAAGGACGAAAAAGCGCACCTCTCTCACCACCTCCTGCACGAAACCCTGCACATTTGGTGGCTCCTGGCGGTTCGGAAGTGTCGTATAGGTCTCGCCCCCTCCCTTTGACCCGAGTTCGGAACCCTCGACGCAGAGCGAGCCAAGAGAGTCCTTTCCCAACAAAGATCCCAGCTCTCTCGGATGGAGAGAGAGTATTGCACAGCCTTTCGATATTCTTGAAGTGCTGAAAGAAGCAGCTACCAGGGCCCCCGGTTTGGGGTGCCTAATTATAGCCCCTTAGAGGTTCAGGGGGTACCTATTATATAAACCCCCCAAAACACGGGGTCCTGGTACAGGCAGCTCAATTTACATTCACACGATCATTATATGGTGGCCCACAAGTGATGATCGTTGATCAGTCCGAAGGAAGGGAGCTCCTAGTTTTGCGGGGGATGAAACATCCCGCTTCAGATTGATTTGCTTCGGGGAGAGGAGAGTTGCCAAATTTCCGTTTGGTGCTCCAAATCACCTGCGAAATCCATGTTCTACTTTCAATGTTTACGTAAACAACACCTTACAACCCATGTCAACAGCGTCAGCCAAACTCCAACTCTCCAAACCAGACCCAAGACCACTCAAATACCTCTAGAATCCTTCCGCCCAAAAAGCAGCGCGTCCCGACTGCGAAGTTGGTCATTGGTCTCATCGTCGCGTGCCACGAAAAACGCCCTCCCGCGGAGCGCTGGTCCCGGGGGATGTACTCTTTCCGCAGGTTCGATTGCCTGTCACCGCGGTGAGATGTGCCGCAAGCCACGGCGGGAAAGCTGAAAGGCGGCAGGATTATCCAGTGCCAAAAGGAGAAGAAAGACACGGGTGATGACTTGGCTGTGGGTCCAAAACCACCCTGGGCGACCCCAAGGTCAAATGAAGAGATTCCTTATGATTCCAAGGTATGCGGTCAAGCTAGCAGCGACCATCATTTGCCGGGGGAGGTGCCCCATGATCTTGGATTCACAGCCACTGAAGACAGCCCTCCGATCGCCGCCGAGCTGGTGGGACATGCTGGTGGCACAGCGAACGATGTCCCTTCCCATCCGAAACACACGAAGAACCGGTTCTTTGGGAGCTCCTGGCTATGACAAATGAAAGGATGAAGGGCTTTGTTGGAGATGGAGTTTGCACCTGAAATCATCGACATCTGCCCTCTTTGGATCCTCCAAGTCTGACATTAGATGCTATCAAACTCGAATGAACTCCATGCCGACCTCCAGAACCCGCGCCGACCTCCTGAACCAGTAGAGCAGGGGCAAGCCCAAGCACAGCAGGCAAAAGAGCACCAAGATCCCCCTGGCATTTCGTCTTCAGCGTGGGCGAAAGACTCCGCAAGGACCAGAAGGGAACCGAAAAGACCCAGGCTGAAGAAATGCAACGACCAACTGATACGACAAGGCCTTGGGTTCATAAATCATCTAAGACTACGGAGAGTCAAATGGGATGCTTCATCTCTGCCACCACCCTCGTGGATGAATTAGGGCTAGATTCGGCTAGATTGATTCCCAAGCAAATGGTCTTGAAATGTATTAAGCTTTGAGGAACACCACTCTCTAAGCTTTGAAGTCGCCCCAACATCCAACCTTTGGTCAAACAGGTTGGTTTCGGAAAAAAAGAAACACCGCTAGGGGCCCAATCGCGAACGCACGATGGAGGACCCTGAATAAGCTGTTGGCGGTTTGAAGGATCATTGTTTTCTTGCAGCAAGGTGGTATAATAGCTTTTTGTTACTATAGTAAGGCACTTGTTTCTAATAGCTTCTTGTTCCTACTAGTAAGGCACCTGGGCACCTATTAGCGTTTAATGTTGGGCGTAAATAGTTCTGACGCACGGAATTTCAAACCGGTTTGGAGACCCCTTTCAAAAGAGAGCGGGTGCTGGGAGAGATGTAAAAGTTGCTTGTCAAACGCTTCTAAAAACTGTGTTTTTAACGGTGTTTTATTAATATCCTAGGCTCAACCACACTAAAACGCACATTTTGTTGGAAATCAATTGCAATCAAAAGGCATTGCAAAATAAAAATTGGAAATCAAAAGGAACGTTCAAGGGAGTCAATAGGAATCCAAGTTAAATTGATATTTTAAAAATGATATTTATGAATTTAATCCGGCAATTCAACAATTCAAAATAATAGTTATTATGAAAAGTGAAAAGCATAGACATTTCTTGCCGGGGGTATTAATAGTAACAGCATCATACCAGAGCAAAAGTGCAAGCAGTTGACGGGAATATTCTTTACACATGGAAAAGCGTTGGCGTTGATCCAGGGGGACGGTTATATAAAAAATAGAAATAAAAAGGGCAAACATTATTCTAGGGGGTTATACTATTCAAGGTTTCTAGTGTGTTGGGCTACCTCCTTTGTCTAAAAGATTCCCGTAACAAGTTGAAAAGGCAATGCACCGTAATTTAATATCGTTCTCTGCACATGTCATCCTTGTTCCTAGTAGCATCTATGGTTCTATTAAAAGGATATAATTAATATATATATATATGATATATCCCAGTTCCTCGTATTTGGGGTGTATTGCATATGTTAGCTACTCGTGATTGCTCTAAAAAAAGCACGTGGCTACCGATGGCCACACCTTCCAACAGCGGAAGAAACGCCGATCCCAACAACACCTGAGGTCCCCGACACCAAGGCCCATGGGGGAAGGCCCAAGAAATCCTGCACCGGCACCGGCTTCACGTGTTCGTGGCACGTGGCACGGAAATCCTGAAATCGGAAGAGCGTATCCCATATCGGGCGTATCTGTTTGCGGTTGGGTTGTTGAGCGATCTGAAAAGAAAAGGGTTCCACAGTGAAAAAGTCCTTATCAAGGAAGGGGCCGGAACTTTCCAAGATGTGTCAACATCATCATACATGTGCTTTACGTTAATGCATGTCATCCCGTTCGACATGCAGCTTCTGATTGGAGGTTTGCCTCAAATGTTCCAGGACAGGACACGCAATTCCCATCCAGGACAGTTCGTGGACAATGATGTGGTCCAAGCGATTGGGGACAAGGGAAAAGGGATCTAGGAGAGTTCGTGGTGTTCGTTCAGATCCAATCAGATCGGATTCGAAACAATCCCAGACACTCCATGTATGCCGTATATGCCTACATTGACCCCTCAAACCACCCCAATGTAGGCATATATGCCATACATGGAGTGTTTGGGAATGAGTTCTTTCAGTGTTCGTGGACGGCTTCTCTTTCAGAACAACGAGATCCTGCAGCGGAAGAGGCCCATCCAGGTGGCTATGCCCCCGCTAAACCGGTACCATGATACAACCAGCTGGTAGCCACCGGTCGGACCGCTGGTGGAATGTACACCGCGGGACATGTTGGCTGAGTGGCGGATGTGACAGGCTTTCAAAGAGGATGGGACTGTGGAGCAACGTGGATGTAAGGCTCCAGGCCGAGCAATTTTTGGAGGTGAAGAAGGCCCTCCAACACAGGCGCCCTCGCTCTTCTGTTCCTGCACTTTTAAAGGGCCCGCCAATCCACCCAACAGCCCCAAAACGCACACTGTTTCGGATCCACATAGCATGAGAGGGTCAAGGGGGTTGTGTTCTTGTGATCATCTATTATGTGACAGAAATTGATTGAATTAAATGCTGTTGGATGCTTTTCGGAATTTTGTGTGATTGATTGATGTGACAAAAGTGGAGCTCCTCCCCGAAAACCACTTGGCCCAACGCCGGCACCGACGGAACCGCTTTTGATGTCTCTCGAGCCTAGAAGGACCTCACGACTTCAGGTAGAACCTTTCGGCCAAATGATGTGATGATGCAGCCCAAATGGCAGCTTGGGATTTTCTGGAAGCTTGAGAAGCTTGAGAAGTGGAAGCGCCACAGGCAGTATGAATTCTCACACTTCACACTTTGCTACCTGCCTGTGGCGCCCTAGCGGCGGTCTGGACCAGGGCCCCCTTCTCCAGTGGAGGAAGAGCGAGGGTTTTTGCGCCTGGGACGAAGCTAATCACCTGCCAAACTACATCTCCGATGCTGCCAAGCACCTTAACCCAACATCCTCCGTACTACCTCATGACCCCAGCATAGATAGACCTTTGATGCGAATCCTCTGGCAGTGACCATGTGATGAAGAACCCCAACGACCCAAACCCTCGCGATCTGGGGATCCGCAGAAAGACGGCCCGCCCCTCCTGAGGCCCAGTGGCACCCACCGGTCGACGTGGCACCTGGTCGAGAGACCGGGAGTCACATGGCACATGGACCCCTGAAACTGACCCGACTGGAGGGCCATGTTCCAAAGACCATGTTCCCATGTTCCTCAGACCAAGCCTTGGTGGCTTTGGGGATTTGAATGGATTTGGATGTTCATCTGCAGGAGGGTAAAGTAACAACCTGGGTGTCTGAGTGGCTCCCGCCATTCCGGCACCTCCGCTGGAAGCCAAGACTCTTTTCACCCACTGGCCCTTCCTCTCCATCTTACGATCCCAAGATGAACTTAGGATGTGTTATATATATATAGCTATCCAGTCTATTTTCTGAAACTTCCTTGGAGTCGAACTGGGAGGTCTCCCTATTTTAACACACACCCTTATATCTATATATAAACTTATTATCCAAACGCACCTGAACAGTTCATTACTTGAATGTACTCGATGATGCACTCCATTGGTAATCCCATTAGAGCAGCTCCGGACCTGACTGAACCTGCGAGAATTCAGAAGACAGAACAACCAGGATGTCCGTTCGGACCGGAACATTGCGCGTCGAACTCAAACCATGGCCAGTTCTGACTGTCTCTGGGCTGCAGACCTGTGTTGTCAGTGACACCTGGTAGACACCTGAGATTGGAATCTCAACAAATCACATGACGGCAAGGTCCCAACCGCGAGACCGACCGGCTGATCGCCAAGGCAACAGAATAGACGACCCACGGGAGGTCAAGCTACCAGAGTTCGCTGACCAGGCTTTCACCTACAGCCACAGCCTGGTTTATTAGACCAAACAGCAATTGGTCAGTGATTCCGGCCATTGCTCTTGTTGGATTCGTTCCCCGGTGCCAGATCGACTGTTTAGACCGGGAAGATGAACTGGAAGTGGTTGATCTGGAATCTGGTGACCTTGGGAAAAAAGGTTTCCAGGACCGGGGGAAAAGCTGAAGGTTCTTGTCCCTTCTCGGAATAAATCTGATCTATAGTCAGTGAGGTACACTCTCAAAAGCTACTCAGTTGGTACTCCTACCATTGCTCTAATTGATCTTCCCTTTGCTCTTCGAACTCATCTTGCATCACCCATCTTTTTGATCCGTTGAGTCGGTGAAACAAATCATCACTCTCGCTTCATCTTGATCTTATTCCGCACCTCCTCGAAACCTCCACGACAACCGGCTTGAACGCCGAGCTGTTCGTCGCATCAGTGGGAAGATTCAGAAATCGCAGACCGAAGAAGAACTCCATGTCATGCCTCTCCTACGGAATCTTGGGGAAATGGAGAATAAACACTTGATGATCAGCACTCATCGGAGTAAATCTAGGGCTGCCGGGACGCCTGGTAAGTCGGCCGTACTCTTTGGTCAAACTGCTCTGAGACTGATGATTCCTGCTTCCGTCGCCGTATTTCCCGTTCATGATCGTTCGTGCCTCTTCACCTTCAGGCAGTCTTCCGGCAGCTTCAAAGACATCGTGCTGCTCTTCGAATGAAAAAGGACTAATTAAAATTACAAGCTCTGCTACTGAGACCATTGGTTGAAATGGATGTTCAACACCTCCAACCCGCATCCCAGCTTGCACTCGAAGACATTGGGCCGCTGAAGTGCTTGGGCCTCTTTGAAGTGGCTTGAAGGGTGGACGCACAATTTCTTGGTGCGTTCAACATCGGACCTTTGGTGCAGAATCCTTTGGGGCCAACGGCAGCATGGAAAAACCGACTGGTGCAGGAGATGTTTTGTTTAGCACACCGTAGCAGGGGCGGATGGGCAATCCAAATGATGAGCACCCGGATGTTCACGTGCTCAAAGGTGATCTCAAAAGCTGAACCACACACCCGGGTGCATCGGCTTGAACCACACACCTGTTCCGCATCTGACGCGAAATACAGAGATCGATCCAAAAGACCCTCACCTCTACTTCATAGGATTCTCTCCCTGAATTTCTTGGAAGCCCACCAGTGGAATTTCAACCACCCCAAAAACCATCAAGAATGTTCTTAACTATTGGGAGTTCTTTCCTATTGGGCCGGATTGCCGATTCCAACCAAAATTGAACGCTGGCGCTGCTCCATGTCTTGTCTTGATGCGCATACATCAAATGGTCCAGTCAAGTGGAAAACCTGTAAGCGATAGTGCAAACAAGTGTGCGATCAATGAAAATTGAAGAGAAATTCCACCTCTGAAGTTCTAGATTCTAGTGAATCTGAGAACCATCAAAAAGCCAAAAGTACAGAAATTCCAATTTGCATACTTTGCGGGTGTTTGCAATATACTAGTCCATATGTGCGGACTATTTGCGTACTATTTGCGGATGTTCGACCCTTTTGGGGGCGTGACGGCATGAAGAAGCAGCTTTGCAAATGAACTGCATATCGAGTGAAAAGGGATGCTTCCATCTCTTGATTGAGCGGGGCAAACCTTATCTCACTAAGCATCTAGCTGTCCAAAACCTGAATGCCAGGAATCAGGTGCTCTTGTTTTCTGACTCTGTCGTTCGTGCCTTCAACTTGCGCTTGGTTACTTTTTTGTGCAAACATCAAAAGTTCAAACCACCGTTTAATTAATTTGAAACAAACACCTGAGAACGATTCTCCTTGATCATCATCGAACTCTTGGACCGGAAGGTCCGGTTGAAACCGGGTAGAAAAGTGTTGAAATTAAATTCTTATTGTTACTAGTAGTAAGGCACTTGTTTCTAATAGCGAACATTGTTACTACTAGTAAGGCACTTGTTACTAGTAGCGATGCACTTGTTCCTAGTAGCTTACTAGCCAATCATGTTCTTCATGTCTGAAGCTTCAGGTGCTATGTGTATACGCATTTATGTACATGGCTTCTTCCTCCAGGTGCAAGCGGCAAGGACCATACTGATCGAGTGCAGTATCTCAGTGTCAAAATCTCTATTCCGCCATCCCCAGCACTGAAAAATGCGTCTTCTGCGAGGGCCTCAACTTTCAAGTACATGCTTTACACAGGAACAAAGCATGTTATCTTAGTTACTGTATGTTGTATCATGCCTCTCTTAGAATCATCTTCTGTCCTTGTGGGGACAACATCGTAGCTTGGCTGTACAATGGGTTTGGCTGTCATGATCACGGATCCCATTCTCTCTACACCGTCACCTCCAAAATCACCTCACCATTGCCGGAATTTGGCCTCTCCAATGAGTGACGTTGCCGGCAGGTGGGACAACTGATCTCACGAATGGAGGTGGACCTGGATCTGGCGGACCGTTGCCACCAAGTATCAAGGCACTCGGCATGAAAGATGTGCCTGACTCACGGCACGTGCAAGAAAACAAGGTAGGGAGAATTTTAGGGGAGAGCATGGGAGACATGTGACGCGCGCCAGGGTCCTTCCGGAGGTGTTTTGATGGTGTTTTGCTCTTGGGGGCAGGCCGGCCCCGACACGTTGGAGCTTGCCCAGTCCCGATCTTCAAGCAAGAGGTTGCAGCTAGAGACATCCAAACAAAGACCAGAATCATCGATGTTTACTACAACCAAAAGGATCAGAAACCACAGGATCGAAAAAGTTTGGATCCTTTTTGTCAGATTTCTCACCAAGTCACTGGCAGGTCAATTCTCTCACAGATTCGCCCGAAGACACCTCGTCCAAGCAAATGACGCACAAACCGCTTGCTTTCGCCGGCAGCACCGGCAGAGTCTCGTTCAAGGCCTCACGCGAGGCCGGGGCAGGTAATCCATCAAATCAAATCCATCCACAGTGGAAATGTGTGCTTTGATAGGGAAGAAACAACACAACGAGAAAGAGAGAGAGAGAGAGACCACATGATCTTTCTACGGCTCCGGCCTATGTGACAGTGCGTCTTCTCTTTCGGTGATGTTCCCTTCGGTGTTCCGAAATCGGTTCAAGACCGGTCTGCACCAGTCTTCAATACATTCTTCTCCATTCTTCTCACGACTCGTCCGAGTTGCTACGACTTCGAACGCAACCTGACACGTCCAGTTCCAGCTGATTCATTCGTGATTTCGTGTCACGAGTGTCAGGTTGAAGTCGATCCCTTCCTTCCTTCTCCACCCCATCAGTTGACCCTAAAAACATCCCAGGCGAACTCTGAAGATGCCAGATCCTCCCGTTTCCGCGGGCCGTCGAACGTACTGGTCCGTCGGGCCTCTAGATCCTGGTCCGTAGGGATCCCCTTTCGCGTCCGCATCCTCGTGGCGAGCTCAGCTTGTTCAATCCTTGGGTGTACAGAGTTTTCAGATGTCTTCAGATGTTTACAAGCCTATATAATTACAATAGAAAAAAGATGGAAAAAAGGAACACCATAATTCCAAAAAGATCAAAATTAGGTGCTTTGGGATGGTAAGAGAATGTAAGAGACATGACCTTTAAAACTTTTGGTAGGAGTCCCAACTTGTGGTTTGCATGGGGCATATCCAAAAATCTTGGGGCGATGAGAATTCACATCTCATGACAAAGACGTGCCCACGGGGCAACCTGGGTTTCCGAAAAAGGGGACCGACCGAACAGCGCGCAGCCGTGTGTTTTGGGGTGTTTCACCACGATGGCCTCCAATCTAATGGCAATGGCCTCCAACCTACTAGCCATGGCCTCCAACCCAATAGCGATGGCCTCCAACCTAATAGCGATGGCCTCCGAATGGCCTCCAACCTAGCGATGGCCTCCGAATAAGGACAGAACAGCCAGGGAACCGGGTCTCGCGAAAGCGCAGGAGACACACGACCTCGGTCGGATCCAAAGAGGGAAGAGTCCAGGACAACACCACTGGATCGAACGTCGAGGACGACGCCGTTCTGATTGAAACAGGACTCGACGTTGCCTGGGGCACTGTTTCTATCGCCTGGGGAAGGTACTTAGATGAATCTGATGTTTTCAGGTTTTGAGGATCAAACTCATTCTCAAAAATGTTTGGTTTCTCGGACTTGACCCTGGGACGAACAGCATGTGATCCCTTCAGTCCATTCATCACATCAGATGTCAAGCAGCGGAACCGGCTTGAGCAGGGGAACATGAACAGACTACCAGGGTCAAGCTACGAGGCTTTGCGGTTCCAAAACCTCTGACCCACAGTCATATGTCTTAAGCAGCCAGATCCCGGGTCCGACAATGAGGTCGTCCACCCGGTCAATCCAGTCTTCCAGTCTACGAAGCATGAACCATGGTTGGCAAACATGGAGTGACAGTCCAATAACATTACAAATGTTAAAAAAATGATCTGCTGGCACCCACAAGGAACGTATGTAGATTGGACAGCTAGATTTGGGGGCTGGGGAGAAAGATTGTCTATCCCTTTTCTTCACTGTAGGGCATGAGTATGCATGAGTCAAAGAATACTTGACCTATCTTGACCTGAATTCAAGCGCTAGACCTTTCAAGCGCCTGGTCCAGAGTCCAAAAACCATCTCTTGGACGGTCTGGTTCGAGGCGCTACGGCAAAGAGCCCAAACAATGGCAGCATCAGCAAGCTCACCACCATAGCAGTCAGCTCCATGGTGCACCGTGACCGTGACGGACGGAGGACGAGTCGGACGAGTGGCGGACAGACCAGCGAGGTCACCGGCGTGTCACACTGCGCGTCACACTGCGCCAAATGGCTTGGTCACATTGAGCCGACCTAAGCAGCCTAAGCAAACAGCCTGCGGTGATGGACAGTTCAGTACCATGCCGAATCGCGCCGGTTTAGTTTCGCGACGAGCATGACGGAAGATCCCCTTGGTGTGATGTGTGGTGTGTCTACAGGCTCGTACCCATCCACGCGAGACAGAATTGTTCCAAAGATGCACGTTACACTGGTTACACACTCACAGATCTGGAGGGATCACTGCCGAAAAAAAAGGAATCCCAGACACTCCATGAATGCCTACGTCCTCTGAAACCTCCCAATTCATGTAGGTGAATATGACACACATCGAGTGTCAGGTGTGTCAGGGCTTAGGAAATGTGAATCCTTTTGCAGAAAAAAAAACCATTGAACCCTCCTCAACCGTTTAGCCGGAACTCTTCGATCGGAGGGACCCTCCCGACCCGACACCGAAGGGGTGGACACCGGTGGACACCGCGTGGGTCGAATCCAACCCCTGACCAAACGAGTCTGGGGCGATGCTCCACTCCCCGGACCAGCTGGGAGAAGAAGCAGCTAGGGGGAGAAGGTCATCATGGGTCACCACCGATTGAAGCCAGGAACCCGATTGGGCGCCGATGGAACCCGGAACTCGTTGGATATCTTATGTCTCGGTGACAGGTCACCCCTCTGGCTGACATGGGACACGAAAGCCCCTGCCCCAACCTGGTCTGGTGTGGAGTTCATTGAGCGAATGGAAGCCCCTGGCGAAGGTAGAGTCAGTGACTCTTCACCCTAGAAGTCAAACCACCATTGTTTTATATTGTTTTAATAGCCGGGTCATCCCGAACAACCATTGTTTCACTAAGGTTTTTACACTACAAAACCAGATCGTTCCCATTTAAAAAATGGTCGACTTGACTTCCAGGGTATTCAGTTTCATGCGATACGAGACTCTCAGTGTCTAGGATCGATACGTCGGCCGAGTCGCGCCCTTCGGGGCCTGTGGTGGACATGGCGCATCACCGCGTGATTCGGCGAGTGATTCGGTCGCCTTTGCAATCGCTGGTTGCATTCTGGAAGTGATACACATCCACCAAAGTTCGTGCGGGCACTGCAGTCCTGGACATCAAATTGAGGGGTAATACAGTCCCTAGAAGTCCAAAGACTATATTTGGAACGGCTGAAGTAAAGGAAGTTCCCGAACTCAGGTCCCCTAGTCAGACCATTCTTTTTATAGTCGACTTGACTCCCAGGGTGGTTCATCTAGGCTGTGTTCGTTCCTCCAAGCACGGTCAAAAACCATCAACTGACACCTTCGCCTATTCCTTAGGTCTTGTAAAGGACCGGTCCAAGAACCACGACCGCAAGAATCAGGTCTTCAGAAGATCCCAGAATGTTCCCTTCTTGATCTGTGGCCTCCCCTACGATCTATCCAGATCAAATACAGGTAAAAGCCTGAGAGCTACAGATGTCGAAAGAAACTTGGCGAACGAACACAATCCCCCTTGAGGCTTCAGGCATTGTTGCTCACATAGCTTCGGGCACCTTTAGCAAGTTATAATAGATCGAGTTAGACTGTTCAGCTTGATCTTCCGTCACATTCATCTGAACCAACTGGGTGAGACACCGCGATAGTCATCTGTAGGACTGTCCGAGTCATCTGGACGGTTCTTTCTTTCTGTCACGGCTGCAGATCTGGCAGAAAATACTGCAACCGATTGCAAGTGGTCTATGTGCTACATGAACAACGTATGTAAAAAGAAGGCGGAAACCAACAAAAATCGTGTGTGGTCTGCAACGTCGTCACTGATTTTGCTCGAGAATCGGTTTGTTACCAAAAGCAACCGCAATGTGTGCGATCGGATCCTCAACTGTGCTTGCCTCCTCCATCAGACCCAAATGTATTTGTCAACGGAGTCCCTTCTGTTCACCCACATGCTGCTAAAATCGTTTCACCTTTTCCCTGAGCTAACAATACACTAGACAGTCTGTAAAATTAACTGTATAACCTTCTTCCTTGCAAAACAATGTGAAACCTCGGCTGCCCTTGCCTGTGTCTAGAAGTGCTGCTAAGTGCTTCTGCAAAGAAAGAAGCACAGCTGAGTGATTCTGCGCATGGTCCCAGTGTGCGTGCTTTATGAGAGCATCCCTTCTTAATGTCACAGCGCAATGGACCAAACGTCCAAAGTGTTCAAAGGAAAACCAAAAAAAATCGTAAAAACCGTCCAGAAGAGAGTGCGACTGCTCATCCGAGGTCCCAGTTCCGACTGTCCCAGGCGCCGCGGCTTTTTACGTCCAGACCGTGTGGCACCGAAGGCTCCGCCGCCGCGCTTCGCCGCCGCGCGGCTACCCGCCGTCTGGCATGCCCTCGACCGGAGTCCAACCTGATTTCGTGGGGCCAGTTGGCTCCGTTTCGTGGGGCGAACTCTCAGGTTGGATCTGTTCATGGGGAAAAAAGAAACTAACATCTTGCAGGTCAGCATGACTCAAGTGGTAGGTGCAGGTCCGCCCGATCTGGCGCTGGTCTGGCGCCGCTTCCGCCGAAGTCCTGCCCCCGCCCTGAAATGCTTTGGAGGGGGTGCCAGCCCTGAGCCGAAGCGCATCTGTAATCCTCAACTTCAAGAAGCTTGGCAATGGAAGGACTGGGGGCTCTGACAACGTCCAGAAAATATGGGTGAAACCACCCTGCGCTGAATGATGTTGAATGTGCCCATGACCGTGAAGATAGCTGGTAGGAGAACAATCACCAACTGCCGAAACTCAGGTGTTGGCTCCAAGCCACTTGCAGCAATAAGCGCCAATTTGGACTCAAACACAGCTGGGGGCGAATGTCTAGCCAAAAAGTGTTATCCCCCTCTCGCCTGGGCATTCACCATAGAGCGCGGTGTGACCTGGGTGTTTCAATGACAAAGGGGGCTGCGAACAGTCAGGGACCATGAAGGAAAGTCACAAAGGTTTGGCCTTTGGCCCATCATCTGTGTATATCTGTGGGGGCACAGTCTTGATTGACCCGGAAAGCCTCTCCCAAAGATTCCCAGCATCTTTATTGATCAGACACAGTGAATATCTGGCACCCGCCCAACCAGTTCCGAACTTCTGCCCAGCGTCCCGTCCCTTCCGACGCGCGTGTGTGAGCGGGGCGCGTTCCTGATAGGGAGATATAGGGAGTATATAACTGGCACAGAAAAGGCAACATCTCCAGCATCTCTTGCAAGATTCTACTCTACCTTCCTATGAAGACGGTTTTGGACACAAGATGTGTTGCTTGGGTGCCATGCCACCCGCAAAGGATACAACAGGTCCGGAGTTTCAGTGAGAGTGGTATGGACGGACGGACAGACGGATAGATAGATGGACAGACTTCGACATGTCGGTATGGTGCCACCCAACGGTCCTTCCCTTTCACGGGAATCGGGGTGCTTGGTGAACCCCCAAAAAAATGAAGAATCCCACTCTTGATGACTCTGATCTGCAAGTGAGTTCTTGTTGCTCTAGGAACAGGTTTCCAGCCAGGAATGGGGACACCCATCGGATTCTATCTGAAGTCCACCACAAGGGCAGCACGGCAGCACCATCAAGAGAGGCAATAAGAACTGATCCTTTCGGAAAGTCCCATCGGCATGTTCTTCCAAGACCGCGCGTGGTGGCGTTCCAAGACCTTTTCATACCTTTTCACCGATGTCCCTTCCAATCATTGAGGTGTCCGACTGTCACCCTGCTTGCAAAAGGAATAAGCACACCTTGGCAGGCGAGATGCAGTCCTTCCGGTGGTGTTTCAATGTGCTTTGGCTTAGGATTGGACATATCGCAGCTTTGTCCAAACCAAAAAAAACTGTGTGCGTGTGACATGTGTGACGCCTTATGTGGGCTGTTCCCGCTGGCTTCTGTGAAACCACGCAAACAACAAAACATGTTTACATATATATATATATATATGTCAATTGGCCATGTCTGCCACCAGTCACTTGCAGGGCTGTCGTGCACTTCCGTTCGTCCGAAGGCCATTTCGCGACTCGAGGCATCGCAGGAAAAAGGCCGCCTGGTCCGCAGGGTCGGACACCTTGGTAGGTGTTTTGTGATTGGTAGCGGAGCCGGTCGAAAGGGACCGGCTCCGGGTAGGATCCCTGAGTTGCGCCATGTCTGCCGCCGCTCCTTTCGACCCTGGAGGTGGAAACAATAGGGTATTCACTGGTGATGATGAAGATGCCAAGGAGTATCGAAGATGGAAGATTTGGACTGCCAACAAGTTGCTGACGCTCAGCGACAAGGTGCCCGCCACGGCTCGTGGCGCCTACGTATACACGTTGTTGGGTGGCAAGGCCTTGGAGGCCGTGGAGCATTTGGAACCATCCTCCTACCAGAAGGAGGGTGGCGAGAAGGTGCTGTTCGAGCTTCTGGACCGTCGGTTCCCTCAAAAGGAGGCTTCGGATGAGCTCAGTGAGAATCTGACCAGGATCTTCGAGCTACGAGCTCATGAAGGAGAATCTCTCAAGTCGTGGGTCAGTCGAGCTTCCGAGGCTTTTGACAGCCTGCAGCGCAAGACGAACGTCTCCTTTCCGGAGGAGGCGAGAGGATGGCTCATCCTCCATCGTTCAGGTCTCAATGCTGAACAGGTTGCCGTCGTGTTGGCCAGATCCCTGGGAGTGCTTAAGCGTGAAGAGGTTGGAAAGGCGATGCGCAGCTGTTATCCAAATTTCTCTGCACCCAAGCGCCGTGTTGCAAGCGCTGCCCTGGTTTCCGAAGAAACCCTGCTGGCTGATATGTTGGAGGACGACGAGAACGGTCAGGAGCCTTCATTTGAGGACGTTGAACTCCTGCTGGCTGATGACACTACAGCTGATGATGGAGAACCCGATGATGTGTTTGACGAACGTGACATCAAGGAGACCTTGGCTGTCACGTGGCAGGAGAAGCGGAAAAGCCTGGCTCGATTGCAGAAGGATCGCAAGTTCCATGATGCTGGCCACCTTCGACGACAGTTCCGAGTGGAGGTGGAGGAGCTCAAACGTCGTACCAGATGCCACAAGTGTGGCCAGGTGGGACACTGGTCCAAGGAGTGCCGCAATTCGAGCAAGGGCTCAAAAGGGAAAGGCAAGGGTCATGGTAAGGCCCCAGCAACCTCCAGTGAGTCGGGAGCTGCTCTGGTCGAACATTTTGTTGCCATGGTGATTCCAGAGTTGACATTGCTTCAACGAGTACGAGCTCTTCATTCCCCACTCGCTCGAGATCCCCCTCAGGAGCTGCTCTTAGTGTCCAGTCCAGGATATGGTATCCTGGATTCTGGGTGTGGTCGTTCCATTGTGGGAGAGGATACACTGAGCGAGTTCCGTGAGCTGTGGAAAGCCCAGGGTTTTGTTGATCCTGAGCCCATTCAAGAGCTGAACCATTTCCGTTTTGGGAATGGTGCCCAGGAAACTTCGCATCAAGTGATTCCCATGCCGGTCGTGTTGGGAGGTCGTTGTGGGGTGATCAAGGCAGCCCTTGTGAAAGGTCGTGCTCCCCTGCTGATTTCTCGGAAAGCCCTGATGACGCTTCAGGCCAAGATTGACTTTCAGAAGGCCGAACTCACCCTCTTTTCAGACGAAGTCAAAGTTCCTCTTCAGACCAACACCGCTGGCCAGTTCATTGTAAACCTGTTGGGTGACAAGACTCCTCATGAAGCATCCTTTGAGGAAGTCATGGAGACACATGTAGTGCCGCCTGCTGAGCAGCCGCCTCATGACGCACCTGAGTCCGATTCACCGCCAGCTGCTCAGCCGCCCGTGGATGAGCCGCTCACCCCAGGACACCTGTCGATTTGGTCTCGTATAGATGACGGGTTGAGATTTGCACCACTCACCGGTAAGCAAGGTCCTAGTTGGAACCAGGTCGTACGTCGCCGGGTCACCGATTTCGTGTCTGGGGAAGTCATCCTCGATCAACAGATAGAACACCATAAGGGCAAGAACCAATATCACACGTTGATTCCACCGCAGCACGTTCGAGTGAAGACTGAGTTCTTTTTCCGGCCACAGGAGAAGATGTGTCCTACTGAGTGTCTGCCAGTTCATCACTTGAGACAACTGAGAGCTCAGGTGAAGTGCACGAGCGCATGTCCAGCCACCATGATCAAGGGTCGCCGATTCGTTGTAGCTGAAGTTTTCAGTCCACCTCGATTCGCACCTGTCGCTCAAGAATTTGGGTTTCATGCGACATCATACGATCTGATAACCGGATACGACTTCACTAAGAAAGAGCATCGCGACCTGGTCCGAGAAGAGCTGGATATCTCACCACCTGACCTGTTGGTCCTGTGTCCGCCTTGTACTCATGAGGGAGGCTGGTGGCATCTCAATGCGGCCAAGCTGCCTCCGCATCTAGTTCTGAAGCTGAGGATGCGAAGCCGGATGTTCATCAAGTTTTGTCTTGAGCTGTTTGAACAACAGGTGTCTAAAGGTAGGTTCGCTATGTTCGAGCACCCCCTTGGATCTCAAGTTTGGACACTCCCTGACATGAAAAAGCTGTTGAACCAATTCTATTCAACCAAGTTGCACATGTGTCGGTATGGTATGAAGATGCCTGACCATGATTGTTTCATCCGGAAGCCCACCCGGCTTTTGATCAGTCATCGAACAATGGAGTCTCTAGGGCTGGTTTGTCCAGGAAAGCAACATCCTCAGCACGAGTGTCATGATGTGATTGCCGGTTCAGCAGTTGGTGTCGGTTCCATTAGTAAGTTTGCAGGTCAATATCCTCCAGCGTTTGTTGAGAGTGTTCTTCGAACTATTCCTGCTTTCGCCAGGGTCTGGGAAGCATCCTTAGTGCAATGTGAGGACGAATCGTTCTCACATGTGGTTGAGGAATGTCTGGCGGCCCACCGCGAGGATCTGACACAGCCGGAGGTCGAGGACGCTCGAGTGAGTGGTGCCCTGATTAAATTGCACAAGAACCTAGGACATCCGTCCAACACTGATTTGGTCCGAATCCTTCGTCATGGTCAGGCTTCGCAGAAGGCCATAGCCATGGCCCGGGATCTGGTGTGCGATTTTTGCAAGGCTCACATCAAGCCTCATGTGCCACTTCCAGCACAGTCGGGTCGTATCACTCAGTTCAACCAGTTAGTCGGAGTGGATGTGAAGTATCTTCCGGGCTGGTTGCCTAACCAAAAGATTAAGTCGGTTAACATGGTTGATCAGGGGTCGTGCTTTCAACAGATTGTTCCCTTCTTTGAGCAAGAGACATCAATGTTGCTTGGCAAGATCTTTGCCGAAGCCTGGGTCCGTTGGGCCGGACCTCCGGAGTCTGTGATCGTCGATCCGGCACAAACCATGTTAGGTGAGGCATTCCAATCGTATCTAGAGTCCATGGGAACCCACTGCAAAGTCATTGCTGCAGAAGCACACTGGCAATTAGGCCGCACGGAGAATCATGGGGGTTGGTTTGGTAGGATTCTGCAAAAGATGATTGATGAACATTCGCCCTCAAACAAAGAAGAATGGTTGGAGTGTGTTGGACATGCACGTGTGAAAAATCAGTCCATTCAATCGTATGGCTTTACACCATTTCAACATGTGTTCGGCAAGAATCCAAACCTTCCTGGAGACTTGATGTCTGAACCCCTCCACATTGTTCCGGCCACCGTGGGTCTTCATGATGAAGCCATAGCTCGCGCACAAGCGATGCGTCGGTCTGCTCGCATGGCCGTGGTAGCTCTCCAGGATGACAAAGCAGTTCGCGCTGCCATGTCCGGTCGCCCTAGAGTGGTCATGGAATTCAAAGCAGGTGAACTGGTTGCCTATTGGCGTCAACAGAAGGTCATTCAAGGGACTGTTCAACAAGGGGGTAGATGGCATGGCACCGCAGTTGTCATCGGCATGGTAGGCAGAAATGTAATTGTCGCCCACCGGAAACAGATTTTTAGGTGTGCTCCTGAGCAACTCCGGCCGGCAACCTCCGAAGAGCGTACCATGATTGAATCCCCTGAAGCTGAACTGTTAGGTATCAAAGACTTGATTGAGGGTGGAACCTTCAAAAGCAAGCAGTATATAGACCTAGTGCCTTCGGAATATCCTCCTTCTGGCATTGAGTTGCCAGATCCATCAGGGCGTCCTGTGGCGTCTCAAGCGCACGAGTCGGCTGAGCCGAGCCAAGACGCTGGTCCCTTCGAGACTTCTTCTCCGGGAAGCAATGTAGACATGCATGCCATAAAATCGCATGATGCCGAGGAACATGAGTCAGAATCTCAGATCAAAGATCGTGCCGTTGAGCCTTATGTGAATCCCAAGTCCCTACCATATGTCCCGGAAGAGGAATCCTCGTATGGTCCAGTGCGGCGTAGAGTATCCACCAAGTCTCAATCGTCTTCACTGTTTCGGCCACCAGCAATGCAAGCGGATGATTTCTCAGAGTTGATGAAAGACCTCGTGCCATCTCTTATCGAGAATGCCATTTCTAGTGAGCAGGGAACATCAAGCAGTTCTGCTTCATCTGCGGCCGGAGTCAAGCGTGATCGTGAAGACGACGTGACACCCGTTGAAGAACCACCGGCTCACCGTGCACGTAATGTGGATTCGGAAGTGCTGTCGGTCGAGGAAGTCACCGAAGCTTGGAACGATGGCATTGAAACTCTCATTGCTGCTCACATCCAAAAGAAGCTCAGTAAGGAACTCCCACCTCATGGCAATCCACCAGAACTTCAAGCATTGGTTGATGAATCCAAGGTAGCTGAATGGGGAACCCTCGAAGAGAAAACCGCCATCAAGATTCATTATGGGAAAAAGGCTCAAGAGTTGAAGCGTCGCTTTCCGGATAGGTTTATTGGATCTCGGTTCGTAATCATTAGAAAGGCTGCGGAAGAGGGAATCGCCATCGATCCTCTCAATCCCTCGACCTACCGTGTGAAGAGTCGTTGGTGTCTTCAGGGCCATTTGGACCCGGATCTCGATGAGAAGGCTTCAACCGGATTGCTTCAGTCTCCCACCTTGTCTCAGATGAGTCGTATGCTGATCATGCAAGTGTTAGCATCGTATGGGTGGGTCCTTCAGCTCGGAGATATAAAAGGCGCCTTCATGGTGAACTTCCTCCGAAATTCAGGCCTCTGTTCGCATCCATGCCCAAAGGTGGAATCCCCGGAGTGCCAGCTGATGCTGTGATAGAGGTGATTGGAAACGTGTACGGCCAGAATGACGCGCCAAGCGCGTGGTACCGCACTTTCGATTCTGAGGCTCAACAGGCGGGTTGGCTCAAGTCGAAATTTGATTCTTGCCTCTATACTCTTAGAGATCCCAAGAACGGTTCCTTGTGTGGTGTCATGGGAGTGCATGTTGACGATACTGCAGTAAGTGGTTCAGGTCCCCTATTCGATTCGGCCGTTCAGAAATTGAAGGCTCGATTCCCTTACCGGAAGTGGCGTATGGGGGAAGGTGAGTTCTGTGGTGCGTACTACCGACAGGATCCCGACACCAAGGGCATTTCGATGTCTCAACAGCAGTTTGCCGAGTCCATGCGTAGTGCAGCCATTCCAAAGGGAGCTGAAAATCAAGCTCTGTTGACAGAGAGCCAGGTCAGGTTGTTGCGAGGAATAAACGGTAGCCTCAACTGGCTTTCTTCTCAATCTCGACCTGATCTTGCAGTTCAGACAAGTCTAAGTCAGCAGTGTTTCCCAAAACCGACCATTCGCCATCTGAGAGATGCCAACAATGCTATCCGACGGGCCAAACAACATAAAGACTTGTGCATCTATTTTGCTCCTGTTCCTCCCAGTAATCTGACGTTGTGCTGTCATTCCGACGCGGCTTTTGCCAATGTTGGTGCTCACACCCAAGCCGGGTATGTGATAGCCTTTTGCGATCAAAACCTCAACGAGGGACAAGTCTCCTCGTGGTCTCCGGCCGTGTGGAAGAGCTACAAGCTCAGCAGGGTGCAGCTTCGGGTACAGTGGAATGGATGTGTTTGTTGCTAGCTGAGACTTTGGATGGTCCCTTTCAACCACTAGAAAGTAGACAGATCATGAGTAGACGAGCCCCAATCCTCATGACAGACTGTAAGTCTCTGTATGACCATCTGATTAGTCCATCAGCACCCACCGCAATTGAGGATCGTAGAACCAGCATCGATGTAGTTATCATCAGAGAGTCTCTTAAAAATACCCAAGGTATTATCCGATGGCTCCCTACTGATAGGATGTTGGCAGATGCTTTGACAAAAGACAAAGCTGACCCAGCCGATCTGCTGAGATCATGCGTCCGCGCCGCCTGTTACCAGGTTTCTCCTGAAAGTCTGATCCTAGAGCAACAAGCCGAGGAAAGAAGAAGACGTCAGCAACTGCGCCAGTCCAAGGACCAGGATAACCCGGTCCCAACAGATAATTAAGTTAGATGTAAGATACAATACTTGCTAGAGTGTCGGTGCTTGCAGCATTCGTCGTTTCTCCAAACTGAGTTCTTTTGCTGTTTTTGGACATGCTCGTTTTATTTTGTATAGAACCTGTCACTCAAGTGCCGAAGGGAAACTCTGTTCTCAAGTGATTGTGCACATCGGTTTTGCATGTTTTTGATGTTAATGTACCGCTCGTAGCCGTTCTTCGAAGCTCAAGAGTGTGTTTCGTGATCTTGTGACCCACTGTGACTGGGAACCATGCCGTTGAATGAGGCTGAGAGTCGCCAACTCCAACTTCTGTTGGCCAAAGCGAATGAACCCAATGTCGGAGCCGAAGATGGTGATTTCACCCTTGTGCAAGGTGAAGTCAACCGTGGGTGGGGCGCTATGACTGATGGTTCCAAGCGCCGTGAGGAGTCCAACCCCGGAGAACCAGTTCTCAAGCGTGCTGACAAGAAAGCCCCTTCTGGCTATTCGATGTCACCCGGCATGTCACCACCATGGAAGTTAGCCCCGGATGGCCCGATGAGCTCAATGGATGATCCTGATCTTCCTCACGAGACCTGTGAGAGTGTTCAAAGTGAAGGCAAGATCTTGAGTCTGCCTCAGGGAGTGGCCAGCGCTGAAGTATGGGGGAAAACCCTCATCACCAGCGGCCGCTTCAAGGGAGCCAACATGTCATATGAAGAATTGTGGTCCAACTCAGATCCATCCGTTGTGCAGTATAAGCAGTGGTGTTGCGCACGTGCCTTCTCGTTGACCGGCACCATGCGCGACATGTCTCAATATTTACTTTTCATGAATGGCAAGAGCTCGAGCTCCCAGTTCTCGGATGGCCCAATCATTCCGGGATCTGATGTCCGCCGTCAATACAAGACGGCAAAGTGAAGTGCTCGTTTCGCATTAAAGCCCACTTAGAGCAGCTCCTTTAGAAGATAGAAAACATAGAATATAAGCAGTGTCAATTGGCCATGTCTGCCACCAGTCACTTGCAGGGCTGTCGTGCACTTCCGTTCGTCCGAAGGCCATTTCGCGACTCGAGGCATCGCAGGAAAAAGGCCGCCTGGTCCGCAGGGTCGGACACCTTGGTAGGCCCCCCCCACCACGACCCCCCCACATGTTGATTCCATTGTAATTTACAGTGAAATTAAACATTTCTTCATGTTCAAATTCTGCATTCCATTCACAGTGTGTTTGTATGTTAGCATCAATATATATATATATATATGTGTGGTGCACAAGAAGAAGAGGATCGTTGTGAGAGGCAAAGCAGTTTGGGTAAAACCCCACTATACCAAAACCCGGACACACAAGCTGCCAACCGGGAAGACAGTGACAGTGAAAGCTGGCACTCAAATCATTGACCGGTTTTGGGGACATATACGGTAATATTTGACATTTGCGGCTAGAAAGGTTGGCTCTGCTATTCTAGCTCGCAAGGTGCGCGCTGCACAGTGGACGTACTGGCACCGCACGCAGAACCTCTGGGCAGCCACAGGCCACATGCTCGAGGAGCTTCGTGGCTAGATTTCAACCTTCATGCTTTGGCGAAAACAATCTGCATCGTGCATTCCGGCTGCACTCTGCTCTATCACCAAGAACAAATGCCTCCTGTTGTCTAAATCAAAACTTCTCTTCTGAATTTATCTAATCGTCAACTGCCCAAACGTACATCAACCAAATCATGGCATGACAATTGAACCGATTTAAATCTGTTCACACTTGTATGAACTGTATCTGCTGTCCTTTACCCTGCAAACTTTAAATTTTCTTCCTAATGTTTCTTTTAAAACTCTCTTTGGGCACGGGGGGTCGGGGTGGGGGGGCTGAGCATATATATATAATATGAAATAAAAACGATCGGCTTCTTTGCCCCTAATTGATTTGTCCAGCGACGCCCGCACCGTGTCAACTTGCGGGCCGCAACATGTCGCCACCAAGCCGGCCGAGCACGAGAATGCCAAGGTCAAAACTCAAGATGGCTATGGCTCAAGAGAAAGGGTGCCATCCAACCTTGCTTGGTCACTATATAATTAGACTAAAAAGTCTAAGGAAGACTTGACAATATCCCAAAACCATCAAACCACCGGACCGCTGCGGATCTCTCCGGACCCACCGAGACCGCCGGCATCGCCATGTCGCAGCCGAGATCTCCCATCGCCTGGACGTGGAGGACAGCTCCGTTCGGGCGCGGCGGAGCGTAGCACGGTGTCCGGCTCGTTGGGTTTCATTTGGCTCTCTACTCTCAGGGGTTTGGGTGAGGCGTCGTACCCAGAGATATGTCTCACTCAGTGACTTTCTTGATATACAAACGTTCCTCCCGTCGTGTAGAAAGTTGTCCAGTGGAACGTCATTGGGTCCCTCACAGGTGTGTGCCAAAACGAAATACAGCAACCAACGAAAACACACTTCTTTTCGGAAAGTCTTCGCAGTGGAAAGGGGAACTATATATATACATATGTCTGTTAGATTCTGCTAGACCCTTTTTCGAAAACGCATGTCATGCCGTCCATGCACAGACACTTCAATATCTTAGCTACCAATGGAAAAACTAAAGACAAAGCCAACTACTTTCAACTTATCGTCCATTCGTGGATTTTGAGTACATGTCTCGATGGAACGCTGTGACTTCCTGGTCTGCGGAACCACATTGAGTCTTAAATGGATTAGCGTACGACATCAGAAAGCTGTTTGGTTAAGTGCTGTTATGTTTGAGGGCGGTCCGAGCAAGGTTCCCGTTTGCATGTGTGAACTGTGGTCCAGTGGCATCTTTAAAACTTGCACTGTGGGGAACACCCTGGAGACCACTTGCTGTGGAGACTAGCCAAAAGACTTCGGATGAAGACCAATCCCCATTGACGCACACCACAAGCATACCTTCTCACACATCAACGGTAAAGCACCCAAAAAATACAAGTGGCAACATGCGAACCCACAAGAACTCAACAAAACACCACGCTGTGGCACGTGAGTTCCAGGAATCCAGCACCGTGGAGTGGCAAGAAATTCCGACGAGGACTCGCAGCAACCCCTGGCGGGAAGACCGGGTCGAACCTTCAACGCCTGCCGCCTGCGACCCGTGTCCCGCTGGCTCTGGAAAGACGTCCCGGTGCGCCCGCTCGGCGTCCGCGCGCAATTCCAGGCAGCCATCATCTCCGCCTCTTCCAGGCCTGCGAGCGCCAATCTCGTCAGGCGCCCAAGCGGCCTTCTGCGCGCCCCAAAAACCGCTGCCTTGGGAGGCTCAACTATCCACATGGCCTTTCCCTGTCGAAGGAGGTCTGCGGACGAACGGTTTCGGTCCTGGGATGAGGAACATGGCGGCTTTTTCCAGCGACCTTTTCTGATTTCATGCGACTGCAGGTGTTTTTGTTGAAGAGCTTGGAGCTGGAAGCTGTGCTGGACCAATCCGCGGGATCGGGAATGACACCCCACGTATGGGATGTATGCCTACGTTGACCCCCGAAACCACCCCAATGTCGGCAAATAGGCTATACATGGAGTGTGTGGGATGCAATTCCGTCGGGGGAAGCAAAGTGAACAGCTATGAATCAAGAGTGAATTTCTAGTAATCAGGTGGTTTCCTCCCCACAAACAATGGAATAGCGCAAGAGCTTCTTACTTCAAAAGCAAGCCGTGCCCGTTCTCCCCACGCCCGTCCGTTCGACCCGGTCAAAGGCTTCTCGCGGCTTCATGAACGACCCGGCCCGTTCATCCCTTTGGGCACTTGGCCTGAAGCAGAAATGAAGACCAATTCCAGCCGTTGCGCACTTGGGTACCGGACTAGGAGCATTGCTGTCCTCTTGCTTGGAAAGCTGCAGCATGTCCTGCATGACAAGCACTGGACATGTGACACCAGCAGCAGCACCACCCACAAGCACAACCGCCACGACCAAGGACAAAATCAAGCGTGAATTGATTCATCTACCAACTTTCCCCCAAAAAAATGACACTGGAAGATCCGGAAGATAGACCATTCACAACATGTTGTTCTCCAATGGATCGCTTCCTTCCCAAATGCAGAGCCAGTCTTTCAGGAAGAAGAGCACTTGTGCGTTCAGGTCGAAGAAGGCTGGACACCCCTATGTAGGTCGAAGAAGCCGTCCAACCAGACAAAGGTGCTTTTCTCTGCGATTCGTTCCTGGTGTCTTATATTCGACCACAACAATGTCCTGGCTGTGGTGCCAGTGGTCTTCCTTTCCACGTGGAAGTAAGGAATGGGTATAGTAGGAGATACCATACCACCCAAGGATTCCACGTCAGACCTGATTTAGGATTATATAGGATGAGTAGGACTTGTTCCTTGCTGAAGCCAAAGTGAAGACCCCCGCGACACGTGTTTCTCCCGCGTTTGGCTGCTGAAGGCCAGTTGGGAGGCCGTTACAATCAAGGCTAGCATAGCTCATTCGATGGCACGGTCTAGTTTTCTGATATCCCAACGTCATACTCATCTCCTTGCTGGGACCGGAATGAAAAGAGCATGCATTTGCTTGTTCAAATTCACAAAAATCTGAATAAACCTTGGGAAAAGGGATAAGGTTCTTTTCCAAGGACGTGTCAGTGTCAAACAGGACACCCTTGCATCTTCTTCCCCAAGAGAAACAACACAGAACATGATCCACTCTTTCCAACAAAACCACGGTCGGACTCAGTGGCTTCAAACTGCAAAATCCTGCGTTTAGCTTTGTCAAGGAAAACAATCGTTTGATATCTTTTAAGGGACCATGTTCCCCTTGTGGTGAGCCGGACTCTATGGTCATAAGTCTGAGAATACAAAAGGCAAAAAATACAATTTGCTGCGTCGCAGACGGTTTCGCGGCAGGCGCGGTGTGGATTTCGCGCTCCAGGAAGGAAAGCCGCTCAATGCCATGCTTGGCATACTTGGTTCGACAAAGCCTGAGACACGGAAGAACGCCCAAAATGCGGTCATTCCCCAATCAAACTGCGGGTCCGGGTGTTTCCTCAAAACGGGCAGGGAAAATGAGGAAAAGGGGGTTAGACTCGTTCCCAGAAAGTCGGTCTTACCACCACGGATGGTTTTTCAAGATGGGGCCCCCGATATTCCAACTGTTCTGCATGGGCCCTGCATGGGTTTCATGTTCGATTCTTTGTTCGTCGATGGCGATGGAAAGCGCATGGGTTCCGTCTGATTGGGATTTCTTGAGTTCTCATCGGAACCCGAGGAGAAAACCAGACCGCATGACTGACCCTCTTGTTGTGATCAGACCGCGAACGCATACTCTTCCATCGGGGGCTCTTGGTGTTTCCTGGGTGTTCATAACCTCTTTGAAGACTGCAGGTCTGCAAATGCGCAATCTATAGTATACTAATCAAAGTTGTTCAACTGTGAAAGCATGTGCGTGAAACAGCAATGACAAGCCCCCTACAAACAGTGCAAGAAACTGTTATAGCACCTGACCGTCACTCGTCGAATAAAAGGATCCAAAATGCAGTGGCAGCACTAAGAGCATCACCACGCCACAGTGGCATCCCAGAAACAAATTAGAACATTGCGGAGACCATTTCTTACTGTGAAAGGCGCAATGTTCCTGATTTTCTTGCTGGGCCCTGGGCCGCCCTACTACTCGTCACTAGAGCCACTCACAAGCTACAAACGAGTTCCGCCCACTAGTCCTTGTCTGGTCTGGATCGAATGACATGCTTCTGACATACAATCCCTTGAACGTTGTTGCGGGGAACTGCTTTGATTCCCCAATAGCCATGCTATGGGGTCTTGCAAAACTAATAGGCGGACGGGCGCCGTCGGGTCACCGTCAGAGCTGGTGGGCGGATGGTGTCCCGGTCATGTTTTGATGGTGTCCCGATCATGTTTTGATTGTGACCCAGTCATGTTGTGATGGTGTCCCGGTCCTGTTTTGATGGTGTCCCGGTCATGTTTTGATGGTGTCCCGGTCATGTTGTGATGGTGTCCCGGTCATGTTTTGAAGGTGTCCCGGTCATGTGATGGTGTCCCGGTCATGTTGTGATGGTGTCCCGGGCATGTTTTGATGGTGTCCCGGTCGTGTTGTGACGGTGTCCCGGTCATGTTTTGATGGTGTCCCGATCATGTGATGGTGGCGCGGTCATGTTGTGATGGTGTCCTGGTCATGTTTTGATGGTGTCCCGGTCGTGTTGTGACGGTGTCCCGGTCATGTTTTGATGGTGTCCCGGTCATGTTGTGATGGTGTCCTGGTCATGTTTTGGCGGTGTGCCGGTTATGTCTGGTCATCTTGTGATGGTTTTCCCGTCATGTCATGTTGGTGTCCCGGTCACCTTGAGATGGTGTCCCGGTCATGTTGTGATTGTGTCCCAGTCATGTTGTGACGGTGTCCCAGTCATGTTGTGATGGTGTCTCGCTCATGTTGTGACGGTGTCCCGGTCATGTTTTGATGGTGTTCCGGTCATGTTGTGATGGTGTCCTGGTCATGTTTTGGCGGTGTGCCGGTTATGTTTTGATGGTGTCCGGGTCATCTGACGGTGTCCCGGTCATGTTGTGATAGTGTCCGCGTCATGTTGTGATGGTGTCCCCGTCATGTCATGCTGGTGTCCCGGTCACCTTGTGATGGTGTCCCGGTTATGTTGTGATGGTGTCCCAATCATGTTGTGACGGTGTCTCGGTCATGTTTTGATGGAGCCCTGGTCATGTTGTGATAGTGTCCCGGTCATGTTGTGATGGTGTCCCCGTCATGTCATGCTGGTGTCCCGGTCACCTTGTGATGGTGTCCCAGTTATGTTGTGATGGTGTCCCAATCATTTTGTGACGGTGTCTCGGTCATGTTTTGATGGTGCCCTGGTCATTTTGTGATGGTGTCCCGGTTATGTGATGATGGTGTCCAAGGAAGAGATGGTCGATGTGTTGAAAACAGCAGCTGTTTCCAGATTTTTCTTTTTGTCCCGGTTTGTATCTTGCTATTGGGGTCTCCAGCTGGGCTAATTCTAAGTGCAGGGATTTCATGATTCTGCTTTAAGAGTAGCTTCCTCCAAATATTAAGAATAGAGTCGAACTTTAGGTGGTTGTCCCTGGGTATAAAGTCCTCATCTAGTTACTAGTTGCAGTACTATAGTTATGGAAAAGGTTGTCCCAGATAATGACAAGATTGACAAGCAAGCAGCGCTCAAGGAAGGAAAAAAATGTCCACCAAAATGATACAGGTACACTCTCTGTAAGTAAACGTGCATCATCCTAGTCTCTGCTTGAATCACACAAACAGAAACAACATACACAGTTTGGCCATGCTTGGCCATGCTTTGCCCTTGAATTCACTGGGCTTGGTAACTATAACACCCCATATGGTCTGTAGCCCATCCAACGGCTGTAGTGCCCCACTCATCCGCGTGCTGCTGTAAAGCAGTGAAGTTGCGGTGTAGCTGGAGCACCTGTCGGAAGCCAAGGCAGGTGGCTATTGTCGAAGGATGTCAAAGAATCCTGCCTCTGTGATTTGGGCATTACTTCAAACTCAAGTCAACCTCCTCAAGCGAACCGTGGGCCCTTTTAGGAGGCGAATTCTGTGGAGAATCCTTTTTGGTCAACCATCAAACCTTCAGCTGCCATCTGTGGCCCCACATCTTCCACAAGGCGGGTGTGTTCGAAACACCAGGATCCGAATGAATGACTCAGTCTTGTAGCTGCTTGGAATCCGACTAAGTGGACCACGCATTCGTCCAAACGGTCACACGGGTCCCATCTCCCAGCGCCCGGCAAGAGCGACCCTCCAACCTGGTCCCGGGGCTGGCCGTTGAATGGATGCCCGGAAAAGGAGGGCGGTTGTTCGAAAGAAAGCCCCTCTTCGCCTGGGTCTCCAGGAAGCCATTCAACCGGCAATAGCGACCATCCCAGCGGACGTTCGAGCCTCAGTGAGCGAGGCCGCGACGCTCCCGTCTCGGACGAGGAGCCACGACGGACGAGCCGCCGGTGCGCCCGGCATCCGGTCATAATGGGGCGATCGACCTAGTCACCGGACCGACCCATTCATGTAGATCGATCTGCATGATGAATGACTGGTGAAGGAAACCCTCCTCTCCGGTTTGGCATCTACGTTTGGGGAATGCTTTTTCAATGTGACTCAAGACTACATGACATGAAAAAGAGAGAGGCTTCCGTGACAATCGCTTTCTGCGCTCCGACACCTCGGTGGTAGGTGTCAACCGCGGTTTTCAAGGCGTCCCGACTCATGGAAGGGTGATTAAAGTCGATGCCCTTCGCGAAGTAGAGGTAGTCCTCCAGAAATGTGTGGACTGTTTTTCTCTGAAGTTCTCCCTGCGCGCTCTGCGCGGTGTGTAATTCTGTGTAACTATAATATGTTGCTTCAAGCAAGTCTGAGGTTCATTATAGAGTCCGAGGCCTTTGTACAAAAACTGCTGGTCATGGCCGTTACGTTCACTGGAGAAAATCCCTAGCCATCCCTAGCCCATTCTTCGAAATAGACATTGGAGCACGAGAGGGTGAACAACGGGGCACTTCAGAGTCCACCCTCCACCCTCGTCTTTTTGTCTGCATCATCGGCTCGAAGAGTGACACCCAAAGACGAGAAAACGACTTCCGGAGAGACCCTTGACGCACGTCGAAGTCGACTGTGAACCCTGTCCTTGCAGTGTTTGGAACGCTGATTTCTTCTTCGTCCCCAGCGACCGAAACCGACCCGAGCGGGCACCGCCGGCGCGCACCGCCCACGCGCGGGCCGATGCGCGGAACCTGGTTGGCCACGGCATCGGCACCTGAGCGGCATGTGTGCTGCACGGTCATGGAATAGCATCGGATGGCAGAAGAGTTCCATGCTCCCCGAAATCGAGGAAACACCTTGGCGAGATGAAGCACCACAGGATCTTGAAGACATCTGCAGACCTGACATGCCTTCCCAACAACCTTGATGCTGCTATTTCATGCTATTTCTAGGAGTTCTTCCTCTTTTCACTGCAGCTGCATGGAATCCACCATATTCTCATGGCCGGACTCGCCCCGGGCCATCGGAGTCGATTCTCCGGAGTCGTCCTCCGCCGGAGCACCGGCCAATCCGGTTCCTCGTGTTGTTCCTCATTCTCCGAGAGGCAGCTCTTGGCAAAGTTCAGGGCACAGAAGCCTTCCGCCGCACCACCTGGAACGGGCCAACGGGCCACGTGCGAGCGAAGAGGCGAAGAGGCGAGGAGCGGGTTGGAATGGTGCCGATCCCATGTGGTTTCTTCGGAATGGGGACGAAGACGGAATGGAGATTGGACATGGACACCTCGCTCGTGGTGTTTGGAATCTGTCAGGTGGCTAGCACTCAACCCTTACACCTAATGGGCACCAAGCATAGTTGGAGTTCTTGAGGTCACTTGAGGTACTTACGCCCATGGCGAGTCTTCAGAATGGTCGTTGGGATGTTGGTTCGATGGCTTGGTCGAATCGTCCATCCTCCAATTAAGACCGCGTCTGTGGTCCTTGGAACCCTGCTTATACCTTTAACCTCCGGTTCCCGAGTGCAGTCTATTATTGTCTTATCTCCAAAGCCTGGGTTGTTTCAACAGTTTGTGCAATACCTCATCCGACCTTGTCCAAAATACATAAGGACGGTAGCAAGCTGCAAAGGCTTCCACTTCGCCACTGGTGGTCTTGGCACTGATGCAAACCCGAGCTTTAAATGCTATAAATAGCACTAACCTAAACCCTAGCCTTCCAAGATCATTCAAGCAAGGTCGACCTCGTTTTGTCGTTTAAAATCGCAACGCCATGTTTGTTCGGAAAAAAGAAAAGAAAGAAAATCAGTGGTTGGAAGGGTGTGTGTATATAAGATTATCATCTGTATCTTTGTTTCTATAGAGCTCTGCTGTGGATCGACATCTCCCTCCTCCCTGGATCGGTCCGAACTCGCGAAGCGCGTGAGACCGGCTTCACACGGCGCCTCCCAGTTGTACTGCAGGCAAAGCCATGATATCCAAGCCTCAGAAGATCTGTATACAGGCCTTTTTTGTACAGATGATATAATATATATAATAGAACAGACCCTATATATATATATTGTACGTTTGTATACCAAATGATATACATATACAGAGTATACAGAGCTCATGGCTCAGTTGTTGTGACATGGCAACGTTTGATCCACTCAGCCGGCCGCAACTTCTGGAGGAGAGACCTCCCATGGGTCCGCTGGGGTCTCAAGCTGGGTCCACTGGGCGAGCTGTACTTCCCGCAGTCCTTCCGGAAGGCCTCATATGGCCTGGCGAGGGGCTTGGAGTCCGTGAAGACCATGTGTTTCACATGGTGACAAAACCCCGCGCTTTTCGTTGATTGGCTCGCCACTCTAGAGCTGTGTTGTTGAGGAAAAGACACTGAACAAGTGAGTGCCGGCAGCATGAACAAGTGCAACAGCGATCATTCTCTCGGTCGGATTTGAAGCCTACTTGGATAGGTCGAGGAGTTAGAAGTTGTGTCGACTGTCACCAGTTACCAGGCGTATCAAGCGGGTGGCAAATCCCCACCAAGAACTTTCTGAGGGGTCCGCTATCCATTAGAGATGGCTAGCAGTGTTGTCTCCAAGACGACTGGCTGATGTGTTTACATGGGTCTCTGCAAGGAGGGTTGTAGGTGTTGGAAAAAAGAGAAGAGAAACTGGGCAAACAGAACATCCTCTCAACAAAATGGAAACAATGAGTAGTGCTGTACTACTGCAATGTTCAATCCTAAAATAGTTGATTGTCTCACCCATTCCACACAACTGTTTGCCTTTTGGGTGGCCCTTCCTTCTACTGCAACGAGAGAACGAACACCTCCAGAGATGGTAGCATCACTTCTTTCGAGCGTCAAAGACTGAAAAAAACATAGAAACCAACGGGAGGACATAGCCCATCTACTGTCATTCTCTGAGAAACATCTCCACTTATGTTCCTGCTCGGTGTTCCCGCGAACGTGTTACCTCAAACAACCGTCCACTGCGGTCCCCCAACGTCCGTTCTTGGGCCCCACCGAGTGATCCGCTCAGGCAAGGGTTGGTTGCAAAGCATGCAGACCTGTACCACAGAGACAGGCTGAAAACTCACACCGGCCGTGCGAAACAAAAGGTGAATGTGTCCCGACCTCCCGGGTCTGGTGGTATACAGATCCCCCCCAATATGGGCCCCCAAGATGGTTGGTGGTGCTTCTAGTTGGCTGAAAAATGCATCTTTGCCCGGAATGAACGTGGTGCCCGTCGATTCTGGGCGGGGTTTGGGGGGGAGGTGTTTGGCGGCTCGGACGCCTCCGATTCGGAGCGTCTACTTGCGTGTGTATGGGCAAGGACCTGGAAGGTTCAGGACATAGACCAATCTGCCCATGGGGCTAGGGGGTCTCACCTTCTGAAAAGAGGTGTGGAAGAGTAAAGCCGCTCAGCGGCAAAAACCAAGTGAGTGAGCTTCCAAGCGAACATGTCAAATGACCCACTGGGAACTGCACCAAATGATCCCTTCTCGCTGGCTGGAGCTTGGCAAAAAGACCCCGCGAGGCAGTTCCTTTTTCTACACACTTGGTTTGCTGAAAAACACCTCTTCCACCCTTCCTGCAGTCATAAGACAGAAGGTCGTAAAACCCTTCAAAAACCCTTCCATAAAACCTGTAGACCCTCCAAAAGGTCGTCACCGCGAAGCCTTCGCCTTTCTGACCTCTTTTCCGCTTCAACCGATGCGGCGGGCGGCGGGCGGCCTTACCGTTGTGATCGACCGACATGACGTGGTCAGATTGGACGGGCTCTTCCTGGTGGCCAAGACAGGTGACGTGAGGCCGGGCCGAGCCGTGAGAAACGCTGGGAGAGGTGCATGGTGGTGGTCACAGAAAGAGTGGGAGTCATATCTTGGAGGACGTGAACCTTCCAGACGATCGAAGAGTTACAATAGTTACAGAGTTGCATAGAGTTACAAGACCTCGCGACTACCTCCAACCTAATAGATCTAATAGCGATGGCCTGGCAACCTAGTAGCGATGTAATAGCGATGGCCTCCACCCTAGTGGCGATGGCCTGCAACCTAATAGCGATGGCCTCCACCCTAGTAGCGATGGCCTCCAAGCTAACAGCGATGGCCTCCAAGCTAACAGCGATGGCCTCCAAACCTAATTACAACAATGGCAATCGGATACACTAGCAATCTTCTCTGAAGACTAGGGATCTTTGAGACAAAGCGACCTGCTGCCACTACATGTGTCATCCCCGTGGCTGCTCACTATTGCCCACTGGTGTCCGAGGAATGCTGCCTCTAGAGTTTTGGTGGCAGCCGGCAAACCCAAAAAAATACGGATGTCTAAGCAACAACAGGCAGAGACGCCGCGCCACTCACTACCACGCCAACACGCTGACACCCCGCTCTTCATCGGCTCCTGCTTCACCGGGCCACGGTGCTGTGTGAATTGAGTCCTGCAAGCGCTGCCAGGTGTGGGCAGTCCCCAGCCCTTAGGCCCAGAAGGCTGAACGTGTTCACGGCTATGTTCGGACAAATCCTCCAGTCGCGAACCTGGGACAAATCCATCGAAGAAACACTCGGGGATGGAGAACAAAGGTGAAAAGCACTTCATTCCAAGGCAAGCCTTGCAGGTCTCGGACCAAAAACAAACGCCACTGAGAGCACCAAGGTCACCTTCACATCAAACCCCCCAAAATGCCCAGCTTGAGAGCTCGGCTCAATCTTCAAAACCTATCTATCCCAGCTTCTTAACGGTTCAGAACCTCCCTCCACCTGGAGCCACGTCCGATCACGCTGGGTCGCCCCGGCTGGAGCAGTCGGACGTCCAGGAGTTCCGACTCTGACTGGGCGGGGGCGCCAACGGGGGTCGTAGATGGGCCTGGGTGGAAGAACTCCAGCTCGAAGGGTAAAGGGTAAATGTTAAAGGTGTTTGACTCAAAATGGATCAACATGGTCTCTTTAAAAAGAATTCAACTGCAAGGAAGATTATGATAGTTAGCTTGAATTCTCTAAGCGACACATAAATTAGGAGAGCGGATTGCGCTGGGGGGTGGGTTTTTAATTCATAGGTTTTTTAATGATTTCTAGCTTATTGTTTGTTAATGTACAGATGTGAGGCATTTCCAGATGATTGGAAGCAGATGATGCAGTTGCAAGATGTGTTTCTACTTTCTTTTGTCAGAGCCAGCATGACAGTAAAGAAGATGATTTTTGGAAGAATGCATAAGGATACTACCACAGTCAAATCATCTGCTGCAGACAATGCAAGCAAGGAGTTGGCGCTAAGACATCTCATTTTTCCGCGCTAGTTCTGTTCCAAAATCTAGTTCTAGCAAGCATATGCTTTGCTTACCTTAGACACAGCTTTCTTGAACTTGTTCAAGTAGCTGGCCTTGTTTTCAGCCACAGCTTGGTTGTGCAATTTGGAAAAGTACAGCACCTTAAAAGTGTGGCGAATTGCACGTGCCTCATTCAAAATCCGTGCATAATTGCGAAACCAAGAGAAAACTTGTTCGCAAGCCGACGTATTTGTCTTCGCAAATCGCCGAGACAAACGCTTGACGTAGAGTGGATTGTACACGCAAGTCTTCTTGTGCCTGTGGGCGTGGAACTTGTCAAGGCTCCAATATTTGATTTGGGAGAGGGACTTCTTACTTGCATGAGTCGGTGCGAAACCACAGACACGGTCCATGATGAATCCATTGACTTTCTGGTACAGAGGCAAGACTTTCTCCAACGACTTCTGGACCACTGGGTTGTTCTCCGGCTTGTCCATGGCAACCACACAAAGAATTCGTTGATCCTGCGGGTTGACTAGCATGAACCATCCATGCCCAAAGGGTTTCAAAGAACCGTCTTTCCGAGGTCGTCCTGCATGTGTGGTAGCTTCGCCACATTTGATGTGGACCTTCGAGTGACCATCTCCGACAAGTTCAGTCACTGATGCCCTCTTTTTGGGTGGGAAAGCAACCTTGTGCACATAGTCATCATACTTGCGGAGCGCAGCCTCTGAGACCAATAAGGCCTGCGTTCGGGACCAATAAGCTTTTGGCCATTGACTTGGACTACTGCTTCGGCAAATGTGAGTTTCCCGTCTTGGTCTCCAAGGTCTCTGTTGAAACCATCCCCTGCACCAAGCTGAAGTGCCATGGTAGGTGACAATGAGCACAAAGAAGACGTCAGGAAGCGGATGAGAGCAAATCAGATTTGAGAGCAAAATCTAGCAGTGGAAGAATCAAATGACATGGAAGTGACATCAACTACTGCAGGGACATGCATGAAAAATACCTTCAATGACAGAAGCCAGCAAATGAAGATCTTTTGTGAAACATTGCTCAGAAGTTGCATATTCAATTCTGACGTTCCAAGGAGATGAGATGTAGAGGTTCAGAATGCAGCAGATAAGAGGATGACCTGTCAGGAGTTCCAGATGCGTTGATAAGTGCATTTCTCCCAAGGAGAAAACAACACTCAAGAAAATAGAGAAGTCTGCAGAGGACCAAAAAAACCAAAAAAAAC